TATGTCGGCTTACATTATTATACTGATAAAGAATTACAAGTTACTTCTGAATCAGCTTGCCGTCTCGCTTGCGAAATCGAATCAGAATTTTTATGTCGCTCATTCTTGTATCTTGGACAACCACAAGGTTCTCAATATAACTGCCGTTTGTATCATTTGGATCATAAAACTTTACCCGATGGTCCCTCAACTTATTTGAATCATGAACGTCCACTTATTGATCATGGCGAACCAATTGGTCAATACTTCGAAAATCAATGTGAGAAATCTGCTGCTTCACCACCAGGTACCTTGGATAAATTGGATACATTACCAGTTAGCTTAGACACCACCGAAGATCCTACTTTAAATAATTTAACCAGAAATGATGTGAACTGTGATAAGACTGGCACTTGTTATGATGGTAAGTTGTGCGATTTTTTTTATTATTTATTTATTAAAATTATTTAATTTAACACTATTTGAATTTGAATTTTTTAATTTTTTACTTTTTATATTTTATAATTCTTTTTATTTATTTTGGTTAACAAAAATATATGAACAAAAACATATTTACATAAGAGTTGTTCTAAAATCATGATCTAGAAGTCAAACAAAATTCTTGATATTTATACAGAAAATTTTGATATAAAAAATAAGATTGGGTGTAATTTATTTAGAGTTCATAAAAAGTTATTTAACAAACTTATCTTTTTATTTTGTTTATTAATATTACATTATATTATTCTGGAAGGATTCACTGGAACCTGCTTAATTACACAATTCTGCTGAGCATTTTTATGGACTTAGTTTGTCCATAATTAAGTAAGGTTAGCTTTTAATGGCGTGTCTGTCACAGAGTCCATGTACACCCCCTATGGGCCTATAGCATCAGTTTATGACAGTTATTAGAGGTCCTCAAAAAAGGGTTCTTCAAGAATTTTAACCCTGCTCCTTACCAATGTCGGACATTTGCTCAATAGATAAGACCTTGATTTTTTTTTTCAAATGATATAAAAAAAATCATCAAAAATCATCAGTTAGAATTTCAAGTCTCTGCACTTACCACGCTATTAAGCAATGGCAAATTACATAGAATATAAATATTGGAACGACATTCCGGTAATCGCCAGATGTGTCCTTCTTACAACTAAAAAAGTCGTTTCTCTTTGATAGGCAGAGTCGGATTACCTAAGTGGATATTATTTGAATAATATGGTCGGAGTTCTATTTGACGGAGACGGAGACAGTTGTGATGATAAATTAAATGCTTTATGACTGAAGATTTAACTCTGAGCCCAGAGGAATAGTCACACTATGCTAGTCACTTTCTGAAGTGACCACTTCTTGTTGTCTTCGGGAGCATGAATGTATGAAAAATCTTCTTCTTATTCTATTCATACTCATTCATATTATATCAGAATTATGTAGAGATTCTTGCATTATCACACATATTGCTTTAGTCACATCTCATTCGTTATAGGCATGTGTCATTCAAATTTTCGTTTGTAGCTGCTCTGAGAGCAAACATGGAATGTGAATCCACACTCCGTGAAAAATCTTCGCAGTTCGTATGATCTTCGTACTTTATAGTGTGAAGATCATATAACTGAGAAAATTTTGTAAAAATTTGTATATATAACAAAATATTTAAAATAATGACTAATAAAAAGTTTTTTATGTTGGCAAAAACCTTAAGAACAAATCAAAATTATAAAGAAAAGTGAACTAAAAATATTAAAAACACAACAAAATATTTATTTCACCAGTTTCGGTACACTGCAAAGATACACGCATTGCCGTACAAGTGCGTACTAATAAACCCTTCAATGGACGTATATATGCACTTGGTCGGTCAGAAACTTGTAATATTGATGTCATCAACTCTGATGCTTTCCGCTTGGATTTGACTATGGCCGGACAGGATTGTAATACTCAAAGCGTGGTGAGTGATACTGTTTTTTTTAAATTATAGTTTTAAAACAATATATAAATTTAATCACTAATCAATCTTCAACTTTTTAGACTGGTGTTTATTCCAATACTGTTGTATTACAACATCATAGCGTTGTTATGACTAAGGCCGATAAGATTTACAAAGTAAGTAGCTAATCAAGATATTATTTTAAACATAGTATTACTTTTATTTAACTCAGGTAAAATGTACCTACGATATGAGCTCTAAAAACATTACCTTCGGCATGATGCCAATACGTGATCCAGAAATGATTCACATCAATTCATCACCTGAAGCACCACCACCAAGAATTCGCATTTTGGATACACGTCAACGTGAAGTGGAAACTGTGCGTATTGGTGATCGTCTTAACTTCCGTATTGAAATTCCAGAAGACAGTAAGTTTAATATACCAAAGAAGTAGTATGACTCAAATTTAATCGTATATTTTATTAGCACCATATGGCATCTTTGCTCGTTCTTGTGTTGCCATGGCTAAGGATGCACGTACAAGCTTCAAAATTATTGATGATGATGGTTGTCCAACTGATCCTACAATCTTCCCTGGCTTCACTGCTGATGGTAATGCTCTACAATCGACATATGAAGCTTTCCGTTTCACTGAAAGTTACGGTGTTATCTTCCAATGTAATGTTAAATACTGTTTGGGACCATGTGAACCAGCGGTATGTGAATGGAATATGGAATCATTTGAATCTTTGGGCAGAAGACGTCGTCGTTCAATTGAGGGGTAAGTACAGTCAGTTATGATTTATTATATTTATTTTAAATATTTATTTTAAACAAAATTATTAATACATAATTAACTCATTAAATCAGTAATGAAACTAAAGAAGCTGATGAGGATATGAACATTTCACAAGAAATACTTGTGCTGGACTTTGGTGATGAGAAACGTGAGTTCTTTAAGGCTGATCCAAGCACAGATTTTGCTAAAGGTTCGTATATGAAATTAATTAAGAAATAAAAATTTTAAATACAACTTTATACGTTCTTATTTCCCCTGCAGATAAGACTGTCACTATCATTGAGCCTTGCCCCACCAAAACATCAGTATTGGCACTCGCTGTTACCTGTGCGCTCATGATCTTATTGTATATCTCAACGTTGTTCTGCTACTACATGAAGAAATGGATGCAACCACACAAAATTGTAGCATAAACTGAGGCGCAGAGAAACTACCGAGAAAAATTATTAGACACTTACGAGTACTTCAAATTTTCCTACTAAAGAACTAACAAAAATGCTTAATATTTCGAAATAATTTGCGTAGCAAATGAAGTTCGATAAGAAAACGCAATAATTAATATTTTAAGGATTAATTAAAGTTAAAAATTAAATAGTTGCTAAGTTTAAAGAATATAATATCTAGTTTAGGGCTGTTTTTAAAATGTTAACTGAAATGTTGCGGCAAAAGTGCGCGAAAAACAATTTTCGTGCAATTTTAGAGTCAACAAAGTAAATATACATTTTAAAGACAATAAAATTAATAAATAATTTATTTAAATCGAAAGCAATTAAAGAAATATTAGTTAATAATAGAAAAAGCTAGAAAAGAGCTTTGAATATATATTATAATTAATTGAAAATCGCACAAATTTAAATAAAGACCCTGCTGAAACGCACACACCTAATACGAAAATAAATTTCAGAAGTGAAGCAACTATCTCATTTCTGAAACTGTCTATTATATATTCGATCAATTTTCTCATCAGTACTTACCACTTAACTAAACTTAATTTAGCTATAGGCCACTTTCTATGAAGTTCTAAAATTCATAATATATAAAAAAATAACTGAAAATTCTACATAACAGAATTTTTTTGTTAATAATTTTTTAACTTCAATAGAGACTGCGTCCCACCACGAAAATCTCATCATTTCAGCTCAAAATATTCGCTATTTATTTATTTAATATTTATTTAAAATTATTCATAAATTAATTATGTTTTATACGATTTTGTGCTTAAATTATTTATATGCATTTATTTAGTAATAATTAAAACAAAAAGTAATCGAATTAAGTTGGAAAAGAGCATTTAGTAGAATTTTGCAACGCATTTTTTTATTTATATAAACTTTAAGTACGCATAAATACTTTGATTAGATTTTGTATATAAGTTCTAAAATATGAATTTTTACAAAAATTGAAAATACAAATAAAAATTAACTGATTAATTTAAAATTAAAAATTTTTATATTAAAAAAAAACAAACAAATTATATATATTGTAATAAGATTAATGCATAAAAAATAAAGAATGAACTTTTGAGAAAAATTTAACTTTTGCTTTTTATTTGGCGTTTGGCATCTGTTTGCAACCTGGCAACTTCTTACTACTTAAAAGAAATCCAATATTCTCATTGAGATGCCCCGTAGAGATAGTCTCATGGTAGGTTTACTTACAGGTCACTGCGAATTAGGGAACTATACTAGAAGATTAAATATCCGTTTCAATCATACCTCTCGCAGCTGTGGAGATGATGATGAGAGTCATCATCTACTGAACACTTTAGAAGCCACCTTTCTTGAAGATCTTGATAAATTACAAGACCTCCCACTTAACAGCATTCTGAGCTTAGTCGAAGGTTCTAGGTGGTTTTAAACCCTGAGTTTTCTTCTACATACGGTAACACAATGGGCCAATAGGCATTAGTGGATCCCCTAGGAATCGCCGGTATAACCTAATCTAATCTTTCAATGCGTTACTTACCCCTATTCTAATGGATTGGGAATGGGAGTTTTTTCCCTATATTAGTAAGTAAGTTATAAGTAAGTTATGTTAGAGATTAGTTAAAAAGAGTTAAATTTAATATGTAAGTAATCAATAATGATCAGTTTTTCGAATATATATAAATATATATATTTTTTTGTTATCCTCAAGTGTTTTAATTTAAAATAATGAAAACAATAGAAGATGTGGAGAAATTAAAGTTACGGAAAATTGAAAACTAAATATTTAACACCGTTTAAAAAGTGTAATTTTTTATTTTATTTAAAAAAAACATTTTCATAAAGTTACGGGTTAAATAAACGACCTAAGCCTGGTAAAAAATATAAACACTAAATAAATATTGATCGTAATAACAATTTATTGAAAATTAAAAACAAAATTGAAATAACGTCGACATTTGGAAATGGAGAAACTCAAACTTCAATGAAAACATTAATAATTCCAATATTGTTACATTCATATATAAGATATATTATTTTTTATTATTTTTAAGAAAAAAAAACGAGTTATGTAAGTATTTAAAAAATAAAAAAATAATTAAAATAAAAAATGTTTTTAATTATTTACTCAAATGTATTCATTATTAAATGCAATTGAATTTATAAAATACAAATTTTTTTTATTTAAAGCATTAACTGATGCTCAATTTCTCTTCATTTGTTTATTTTGCTTCTTATATTCCTACTTTTCGCTATCAAAAAATGCAAATGCTGCCAAAGTTCAAAAAAAAAAAATTTCAATTCAATTCTAGGGAGCAATACGTTTTGGGAGAAACTTATTACCTGGAAATATATGAAATAGGGGTGAATGCAAAAATCATATACTAAGTTTTTTATTTCTGGAGAATTCATACTCAAAATGTATTTTGCTATCTTCTTAAATTCAGAGTATTTCTTTGACTTCAATTTCCGCAATAAATTGAACCTTATTTCTTCATTCAATATAAGGCACTCAGAAAATCTGTAGATTCTTAAATTATTTTTATTTAATTTTATAAAACACTTGAATCGATTTGGATTGAAAATCTTCATAAATTCTTTTTAAATAACTTAAAAAAAATTATCCCTTCCAGCAAAACCATTTCTTCTAGATAGAATGAAGACGTGTGTTGATCCAACCATTAACACTTAAAGTCAAAAATAACTATTGCCCATTGTGTTCTCTATAAAAAGGACACCAGGAGATGAATATTGCTTCCAATATATTTTCTCATACTCAGAGATAACTATTACCTATATAGTTATTTTACCCATATTATATCACCCATATTTTTTTTCTTGTCCATACATGGTACACAACCATTGTTTCTAAAGAGTTTGGTTTTTTTAATAAAATCAAGGCGATTTGATAAGTTTATTTTCAGTATTTTTACCAGGCCACATTCAACCTCCTGTTGTAGTCCCTTGTAGGACTTCTAGAGGTCAAAGCCGCCTTGCCTTTAGCCCTGCATAGAAAGTGATTGATACGCTCCTCTTTTCTTCGTCATAGTAACTAATACACTAGTCACTTGTCAAAATGCACCAACTGTGTAATAGCACAGTGCCAATAACCACCATACGAACTGTGGTTTACACAAACTCAAAAGATCTTTCATTCTACTCGTATCCAAACGTGATCATACTGTTCTAACGATCTTACAGTACACGCGGTCCATAAATTAACAATTTGTTAGAATAGTTTTAACTATTTACATTATTTTCTTGTATTTACTGCTCTATAGGTAGTAATTCAATTATTTTCATATCGTTTTGGTTTTCATTCGCTAGATTTTTGGATTTCTTCGGAAATAGGGTAAAATTTATGCGTGTACTTACATGTTTACTTGTCAACTACTGCTTCAAACACCTTTTTCGCTGCAGTATCTCTATCCATTTTCACGACATGACCAAGCCAATGAAGCCGGTGGATGATAATTTGCTGTATTATATCAATGTCATGATAAAACTCGTACTGGTCGTGGTTCATTTGTATGCGCTAGTCGTTGCCAACTCATAGAGGACCAAAGATGTCACAAAGAACTTTTTTCTCTAACACTCCCAGTACTGATTCCTCATTCTGTGATAACGTCGATGCTTCTGCGCTATACAGAAGTACAGAAATGATGAGCGACATATAGAGCTCTACATCTCAATTGCCTACTGATCCCATGGTAGCACCTTCTAGCAATGGTGATTCTTTATCTGATCTTCAGGCGGATATTGTTGATGTTTAACAGATTCGAAAGTATAGTCGCCAGCCACTAACTCGGCGTCCCTGTGGCTCATATTTCTACCAGTAACCGACATATACTTCGTTTTCCTCTCATTTACCGCTAAGCCCATTATTGCAGATTCCTTTTCGATTGCAGCAAAGACGTTTGCTACGCCTAATAATGTCAATATCGTCGGCGTAAGCAAGGAGCTGGACACATTTGTAAAATATTGTTCCATTACCATGAATACCTGACCTGCACATTATCACTTGCATTACGAAATTGAAAAGATCACATGATAAGGAATCACTTTGTCTAAAGCCTCACACGATATCAATAGGCTCGATCTTTTAAATTTTGTTGCCCAATCGAAGTAATTTAAAATTTTTGTAGGAGTGTTAGTAGACATTCATATTTTTATTTATCTGTCAAATTATATAAAACACTCCGTATTTACCAATCGAAAATAAAACGGCACTAAAACCCATTAAAAGAGCTAATCGATTGAAAAAATTTCTCCAGATTTAAATTTTCTCGAAAAAGCCATAAGATAATATTAACAAATAAATAAATTTAACAAATGTTTCCAAAGACTAATGTTGATGAGTATTTGGCAATACTCGAATGAGATTTTCAGTCCGTCATAAATTCCATTTATCACCTCTTGTCTCTTCCGTAAAGGTATACATTCCAAGGAGTCTATTCCGTTTGTGCATTAGTGCAGGGTATTCTAACAGCAAATGTGTGGTTGACTCCTCATTTTCTTCGCAGAATCTACAGTTTACATCCGTATATATATCGAAATTGCAAGGTGATATTTTAATTTACAGTGATCTGTTAGAATTCCTGTAATGATTTCGAGTTTTTCTTTTATAGGTTCACACACTCCTGATATCTATTATTGTTATAGGTACCAATTAGTGAATTGGTTAGTGTTAATCCTGGTATATTAGCTCAGTTCTATTGTCTGTTTTGGTTCCCCTTCATCTTTATGAGAAAAAATAGGGGACTATGTTCTAATTTACAGAGAGGTTCCGGCCCCATCATCGGTGTGACTGCTCCTTTCCTGGCTAGTTTGTCTGCGTATTCGTTTCCACGTTGGCCAGTATGATCCGGTACCCAGAGAATGGATACCTGATTTGATTCGCCTAGCATATTTAACTTATCAAGGATTCTTGCACCAGTATTGAAAGCATCTGATGCGAGTTTTGTACCTTGATCACTGGTTGGCTATCTATCAGTATTGCGATAGTTTTTCCCTAGTGATACCGTTCAAAATTGATAACACGCACTTGAATATTGCGTAAATTTCCGCTTAAAAAATACAAGTAATTTGTCCTAGCGCTTCTTAATGCCTCTTGCCTGATCCGACTATACCTGGTCCGGCACATTCCTCCACCTGTAATAGGCTTACTATTGAAAAACTATTTTAATAGTAATTGTGTTTATTTTTATTGTTAGGGAATGTGACACTGCGACCGTCGGGTGTATTGTGCCTCTTCTGGGCTTAGAGTAGGTCTTTATGCCCTGTTGCGAAAATAAAAAGTAGTATAGAACCTACTTTACAGAGTTTTATTGTCTTTTCCGTAAGAATATAAATTCCTAGGAGCGTATTTCGTAGGTGCATTAGCGAACCTTTGTGTTTAAAAAATAAACATAATTTGGTAAAACAAAGAAAATAACTTTATATATAAACAATAATATTACCAATTAGCTGGTTGTATTTTTATTTTAGTAAAAACCATTTATGAAATATCTTACAAATTCTCTTTCTCTCTCTCTCTCTCTCTCTCTCTCTCTCTCTCTCTCTTTCTATCTCTCTTCTCACCTTATATTTAATTAAAAATTAATACTACATTAAATTAACTTCATTTGAATTTCTTATTTATTTGATATCAATATTTATTAAATACATAGAGATATAGTTTTTTTCTTTTTTGCTGATATACAAGTGTATCTTTCATTCACTTCTTGATGTGTATGTATGTATAAATATATACAAAAATTGTATAGATAAAATTTATTTTTTGTTTACACAACTGAAATGCAAATAAAAATTTGTTTAGATTAACATATTTTTTTTTTCAAATTTCTACTAAATAATGTTATAAATAACATAATGTTTTGGATACTTTATAGTTATAGATTTAAAATGCTTAAAGATAATTGTATTTTAATGTTTACATTTAATAAACACTTTTGACAAGAACTTAGATAACACACTTAATATTGGTTTGGTTTACTTTTTTGTTTTTGTAATTTCGTTGAATATTATTTAAATAATTTATTGCCAAATTATAAATTTCTAATAAAAAAGTAAATTAGTATATAAAGTATATAGTTTTGTTCATAACATGTAATTAAAGTTTTGCATTTTTGTTTTAAAATTATTATATTTAACATTGCAAAAACAGTTACACAGTCTCTTTGGAAAAATAATTCATAAAATTGTGATAATGCATTATTTTATAAATTTTTGTAATGTTTTTCTTTTTCTTTAATTTTTATAATTAATATTTTAACTTAACGTAATTGACTTATAATTAACGATCGCCAGGAACGTTTGTAATATTTATTTATGCTCATATATATGCATTTATATTTGTATTATCAAAACAAATATTTGGGACGATTTATACAAAATATTTCTAATAAAACAAATAATTAACAAAATTTTATAAAATACACTAAACTTTTGTGTACAAATAATTTGTTGCTCATATTATTTAATTAATAATTATTAAGTCATATAATATATGTGTATTTTGTATTTTATTTTATTTTTTTTTTGTTTTTAAACAAAATCTATTCAGGCACTTTCGGTTAAAAAAATAAAATAAAAGAAAAGCTAATGAAAATTTATGAAAAGCAGTGCAATTTTCATGTTTTATTTCAGTCTAAAGATAAGTTTTAATAAAATTATTCAATATTATTATTAAATATTAAAAATATATTAACAAAAAAAAAAACGTGTGTAAAATAAACAAAAACAATTTTTAATGTTGCACAATACAAAATCATAATAAAATAAAACTGCAAAAATAAGGTAGAAAAGTATTAAAAAAAAAAATAAATTTAATTAAAGTAATTATTGTATATTAATTAATAATGTGTGTACAATAACGACGCTTTGTATTAACCTTCGTAGAATCAGAGTTCATATACTAAACATACTTACTCACATATATATTGCCAAACATTACAGGCGCAAGTCATAAAACCCAAATAATCTTATTTTGTATATATATGGGTTATTTAATAGAGAGTTCTCTTTACACCGTTAGGAACACGGTTGCCACTTTTGGTACTTTAGTACCAAAATTGGTACTTTTTTTTTTTTTTTTCGTTTGGTACTCTGGTACTCATGTTCAAAAAATGGTACATTTTTGACGACCCAACTTTATTGTGGATATTTTCAATTATGTTTTTTTATAAATGCAACTTTGCACTATTTTATATTTTGTTTATTGGTAACACTATGAAAAACACAGAACGAAAAAACAAAAAGGGTATTTCCATATCTGACGTTTGCAACGAAGACTTAAAAAAACTGGATAATTTAATAAAATAAAATAAATAAAAAAGTTCATAAGGAAAAATGGAGAAGTAATTGTATTTATTTATTAGCATATTACAGATGTATTTAATAATCACATCATTGCATAGGTTTCTTTGTAAAGGAAAACCGTCAACCGATACGAGTAATACTGGTAATATACGTGACGCTGCAAGTATTTCAACAGATAGCGATGGCAGTGTCCAGAAGTAAATAAAAATTCATATACGCATATGTATTATTGAAACTAATATAATTGTATATATTGATTTAGTAAAAATATTGCGGCTGCAAAAGTTAAAAGAAAATTTCGATTAGAATGGACTAACACATTTCCGTGGTTGACAAATAAAAATGGTAATGCTTATTGCACTGCATGTCATAAGATTATTATTAACCACTTATCGCATATAAAACGACACGATTCAAAACAAACCCATATACGTAAAATTGCAACAAAAAAGGGTCAAACTAGAATTGATGAATTTGCGGCAGAATGCAAGAACAATAACTTTAATGAACAAGTACGTGATGCAGAATATGCGCTTATTATGTTTTGCGTTATGCACAATTTGCCGTTTTTATTAATGGATTTTTTACCTAATCTACTACGCGTATGTTGTCCGGATTCTGAAATTGCGAAGGCGATTAAATGCAGTCGAACCAAGGCAACACAAATTACTGAGCAACTTGCATCAATGTCAAATGCACATATTGTAAAGCAGTTAAAAACATCAAAATTTTCTTTAATTGTTGATGAAACTACTGATGTTTCATGCAGAAAAGCACTTGTTTTAGTTGTGAGATATTTTGAAAACTTAGCTGGCCTAGTTAGAGACAGGTTCTTATGTCTCATAGAACTAGAAAAATGTGATGCCGAGTCTATTTATCAAAATATAAAATCGTTTTTTTTAACTAATAACATTCCAATTCAAAATTTAATCGGACTTGCAACAGATGGAGCAAATACTATGGCTGGGCATTTAACTGGGTTAAAAACTAAATTAACTAAAGACACCAATTTGTTTTACCTAAAGTGTCCCTGCCACTCTTTACATTTGTGCACAGCCTATGCCTGCAAAAAATTACCAGGTGAAGTTGAATCATTGTGTAGAAATGTATATTCATATTTTTCATGGAGTCCTAAAAGAGTTCAAGAATTTAAAGAATTTCAAGAATATTGTAACATAAAACCTCACAAAATGTTAGGTTTAGCTTTAACGAGATGGTTATCATTACAACAGGTTGTTTTGCGAATTATTGAACAATGGGATGCGCTCCAGCTTTACTTTTTATCGCACTGTATTGAAGTCAATGATATAAAACCAAAAGACTTAGCAAATCTTATGGCAATGAAAGAAACAAAAGCTTACATGCTTTTTTTAACGTATATTTTGAAAATTGTGAATGACTTAAATATTGAGTTCCAATCTGATAGCATTCGACTACCTTTTTTATATAGGAAACTAGAAGCGGTTGTTCAGTTAATATTAACCAATTTTATGTGCTATCAGCACGTTAAAAACGTGCCATTAGAATCCTTAGAATTTAAAGATTCTAATTATTTTTTGCCCATTGAAAAAGTTTTTATGGGAATGAAAGCAGAGACTTTTACAGATAATCATAATATAGAAAAATCTAAAATATGTGAAATAAAAAAAAATGTACGCTGTTTTTATATTGAACTTATTTCACAAATTTTGCAGCGTTTTGATTTTTCAAGAACTGATATAAAATCTCTTGAGATTATAACGCCGTCTAAAATACTTTCTGATGATGAACTTTCAATTGCACCGCTACTAACTCATTTTAGTTATTTACTAGAGTGCGAACCGGATGAAATTATATCGCAGTGGACGTTAATAAGACTATCAACAAAAAATATAAAACATTTTGATAATATCAATTTATTTTGGGAGCAAATTAAGAAAACAAATAATGGTTTCAACGAGCCAGCATTTAGAAAATTAAATTTATTTGTAAATAATTTAATGGTTTTGCCACATAGCTCTGCAGTAGCAGAAAGAAAATTTTTTGAATTAAGTCTAATTAAAAATAAATTGCGAAATAAATTAGAGTTTAAGACCCTCAATAATATTATGTTATGTAAAGAACTTTTTAACAACAAAGATATGCACTATGTATGGTCAAAAAAAGATAGTCCAAATATTTAAATAATAAAATTATTATATATAAAAAGACTTGTATTGTTTTATACTTTTTATACATTTCATATAAATTGTATTTTCTTATAAAAAGACAATAGGAAAATTTTGGACCCTTTTTTACAGAAATGGTACCTTTTTAAACCAATTTTGGTACAGAAAAAAATTTTCAAGTGGCAACCGTGGTTAGGAATATAAACAGGTAATTGTGATGAAGGGATCAAAAATTCATATATTATTAAAAAATAGATAGATTTATAAAAATATTAATATTAATAAAGAATTTATTAGAACTAATGGACAATTATGCAGACCAAACTCTTCTAATGGGTACCGCTCATTTTCGGTACACACTTTTTTTAATTCAATTCTTTTTTAATATTAATTAAATTTGGACTCTTAGTCGGAATCTCCTCCTGAACACAAACAAGCTAGCTGACTTATAATTATCAGCTCAGCTCACTGTATATTATTTTATTTTATTTATTTATTTGTGAGTTAACATTAAAATTCATTTTAAAGTTAACTAAAAATAAGGAACTGTACTACTAGGTTCTTCGACCTTGCACTATACATTATATTTTCTTAGCAGATGGGATACTGTAAGTGCAAATAGGCTGCAGACAATGTTAAGACTTTCAAAATTATTTTGGATCAAATATTTTAGCCTTTTACCCGAAATATGTTGTGAAGGATGGATCATATATTGTATATATGGTAGTTATTTATAGGAATGTCACAGATAAAAACATGCACAGTACTGTGAAATTTAAATATATATGTAACTATATATCTACTTAGTTTTCTAGCACAGCAATATATATACTTATTTTGTATACGAGTAGTTAATTGAAATAATAAGTTATAAGATAATAAATTATTATGACTACTTTAGTAATTATTAAAGCAAATAACGTTAAAATAAACTAGTTAAAAGATCTATATCAATGGATCATGTCTTTAACAGTTTAAACTACCGTTTAAATAGAAACGATATTTCTAGCATTAACAACTTATATTCGTACTGCTTGGATAGCTATATGTTCAAGGATATATTTACAAAATAAATTTTCACTAATATTTTGAAATTTTATCGTTCGATCGCCGTTAAATCTACAACAACGTATTGTCAATCCGATTTATCCTATAAATAAAAAAAACATACATTTAATTAAAGAGAGAATAAGAGTCTTCCATAGACAATACAAAAGTATGTAAAATAAAGAAATGCATATATGCTCAGAGAGCAAATCATAAAAATTTAACTTTTAGAAATTACGATTCAATTGTTAATAAGATTAACTATGATTTAGAAAAATTTGATATCTGAACTCTCAAATTCGTTTCAGATTTTTGTGTACTGGGGCTGTGGTTCTGCGGAATCTATACTCGATCGCATGTATTAGTGCACAGCATTGAGTAGGAAAAATATGCCAAATCTTCAGGAGAACTTTACTGGCAGAACTGTCAGAAATGTCAAGTTAATAGACTTCTCAGATTGACTCTCTTTTGTTTGAATAGGAGAATCTGAGGAGAATCACTTGTCAAAGTGATACTGTTCGTGCACGACCTACCCTTAAGATTGTTCTTTAAGTCGAGCGTATGGACGGTATCTCATCAATGTTATCAGGCCAATTAGGCCCATTTTAATGCTTTTGAAAGGCTTTGGGGCATAAGGCCACCAATCAAAACTTTAATTGACGTTAAATGTCTATATATAAGTAGTCAGTGGTTGTGGCAATAAATCGTTAATTTTATATTTTTGTGTATATAAAGGATGAGCTGTCATATTGTTTAAAGGAAAACATATATTTTTATGGTTAAGTATTTTTTTATAATAACATATATAGCAAATATGTAGTCATTGAGCACTCATCTCATACAGATTATTTATAAAGTTAGAAGAGAAAATATTAATTTAATATTAGCTGCGTTCAATTCGTACATAGTACACATAAATCTATGGAAATATAACCAGTTACGAACTTACTGTTATACAGTAAATTCTCGATATAACTAAAGATATAATGTAAGTTATTACGAATGCATTTTATATGTGTAAAGCATATAATTTTTTATTTTTTTTTTGTGTGATTATTAGTATGACCCTTTATTATTCAGTTAGCTTGCTATACCGAGTTATTCTTTACTCAAGAATGTACTGTTTTTCCTGTTGCTTGTAGGCATAAAATACTCCTAAATACACAAATACATATTAAGCAATGTAAATTAAATAATCAAATCAATTCCTAATAATATGACTCTTTCTATGATATAATGAATTATCCCGGTTTTTAACCATTCATATGATAAACCTTTTAATATTCAAATATTTTTCTTAGACATTTTAGATAAAATTGAAGTTTAATTAGAAAGTTTGGATAGTAATAATAATGCTGATAATTGTAATATTTTATTCTGCAGTTCTCTAAAGACCATTATAAGATCGATTTTACCATAGCACTTTTTATCACTAACAACTAGTATCCTGATATTTTGAAAAAATTTGTATAAATCTGAATAATTCAAGTCAAAATATATATATTTTTGATTTGTGTTTTATATACGACAATGTAGTAACCATCCATTACAATTATGTAAGGATATATACTAGATCTTAGTAGAGAATAATGTCAAACAAATTATTACTATATACTTCTACCTAAGACATAACAAAATCTTAAGGTCTTCCCTCCTTCTCCGATAATAATAAATTATTTTTAATAGATATAATTAATATACTAGATATTATTATCGGATTAAAAGTAATAAAGTATTAGTATTAAAGTAATAAAGTATTAAATAAGTATTATATCCAAAAATTAAAGCTTCGTTGTACGAGGTTGTTTAGCGAAACGAAGGAAATAGTGCGGCGTCTGTTATAATATTATAATAGTTAACAAAATATAATTTAGCATGCAATAAAGAACTACTAATTTGACACCATTTATTAAACAATTTATTTATGGTTATTTCAATTTTGTTAGTACAAAACAAATTACAAGAAAATTTAATTCAATTTTTCAAATAAGTGGTAGTCAGTTTAGTTCAGCGGTACAAAATGCATAAATATGTATAGATTAATGCAATTAAGCACACCCAAAAAAAAATTTGAACTGAAAATTAGACAAAAATATTAGTATTAACAAAATAATAAGCATTACATTAAACTACATGTGATGTTAAACAATAATAAACTACTTCAGACTAAATAAAAAATTAAATAATGAGAAATTAAATAGCAAAAATATTAAAAAAAAAATAAAAAAAAATTAATAAAAATAAAAGAAAAAAATTAATAAAAAAATTAAAATAAAATAAATATAAAAAACATTATTTTACAAATATATAAACCTGAAGGTAAACGTATATGCAAACTATTTTACAATAAACAGCATATGTAATTTAAATGCCGTTTTCCTTTACATTACTAAGTTTACATAGATAATACTTAAAATAGTTTTTAGGACTATTAAAGTGCAACAATAAAATAAGTAATACATAATTATATATATCCCCTAAAATATGTTTATTATTGTATTTTTTTTTTTTAAAACCCATAAATTTTCAATTGAATGCAATTGGTAAAACTTTTATTTTACACTACATACAGCTATTTTTAAAAAATATATATTTTTTAATCTTCATCAAGCAAAATACAATGCCATCTATCTTTATGTATTTTACTATAAAGCTATTTATATTTATAGTACAATAAATAAAGCTATTATAATCAGTTTTTTTTTTATCTTCGTCTACTATTATTGTTACGGGATGTGGCACTGCGACCATCGGGTCTATTGTGCCACCCCTTTCTCTATCTTTCAGAAAGCTTACTTATATTCAAAGTAAACAAATGTGTTCTAATTATCGATATAACAAAATACTATCTGTATCTAATTATTGTAATAAAGATATAGTATTTTAGCGATTTAAAAAAAAAAAATGAACGAACACTTGTTTTACATATAAATGAGTATAAAAAACCTATCGTTATCTTTTCTTTGTGTATTCTAAACTTTTTAGAAATTGTTGACATATTTCTATATCAAAACTTTAGAAATCTTGCTGGGATTTAGGTCGTGTTTTTAAAAATTATATTTTTATATAATAATGTATATTATATAAACACAAATTTAGAATTAAATAAAAGATATCACAGTTATTAACTTATGTATATATTTATTTAACAATTGTGATATTTGTTCTACTACGGTTCTACTTTGTAGATCGAAATATCTGTTGAACAAATATATACATAAGTTAACAACTGCGATATAATTTATTTAATCTTATGTTTGTATAACATACCTTCTGCTCAATAAGTATCCGGATTTTGTTAACTACTCCTTAAGTAATAGACCTTTTTCAATTTGTACCATATGTCCCTTTCTTGACATATGGTACAAATTTGAGCGCCAGCTGTCAATTAGTCTGTTTACAGTAGCTGTTAATGTGAGACTACCTTAAGTGCATTTAGCGATTTTTACTATGGAAAATTCAGTTGAACAACGAGTTTGTTTGAAATTTTGTGTTTTGAACGAAATTTCATGTGTTGAAGCATTGAAAATGGTGCAGAAAGCTTACGGGGACTCTTCTTTGTCTCGAATACAGGCATACGAGTGGTATAAATCATTCATTCGTTCTGGACGTCCATCAACATCAAATACCGAAGAAAACGTGGCAAAAATCAAGAAAATTGTGTTGGAAGACCGTCGTATGACTGAAAGGGAGATTCCTCGTGACTTAAACATCTCAAATGGATCCATTCACCACCTTTTACATGATATATTGGGCATGAGACGCGTTGCAGCTCGACTTGTAAAGAAACACCTTGAGTTTTTGCAAAAAGAATACCAAAAGAACGTGTGTGAAGAAATGATTTTTGAGCATGGAAACGACTCTACATTCATGAAACGCATCATAACAGGTGATGAGACATGGGTTTATGAGTATGACGTCGAAACCAGTCAACAATCGAGCGAATGGCGCTTCAAAAACGAGCCAAAACCCAAAAAACCGCGCAAAAGTCGCTCGAAAATTAAAGTTATGCTCACTGTTTTTTTCGACTACCGCGGTGTTGTTCATTACGAATTCTTGCTAGAGGGTCATACCATCAACAAAGAATATTACCTCGTTGTTATGCGGCATTTGCGTTAGTTCATCCGTAAGAAAAGACCAGATTTGTGGAAAACCAACAATTGGATTCTTCACGGCACCACTGTCATCGCTCAGGCACCATATTCGCCAGATCTGGATCCGTTCGACTTTTTCTGTTCCCGAAACCCAAATTGCCCATATGTGCATCGCTTCAGAAGGAACATATTTTGAAGGAGATAAAATAAATTTGGAATAAAATTTAAATTTGTGTGTTTTATTTACAAAATCCGGGTACTTATTGAGCAGAAGATAAGTAATCATATAAAAGTATAATTTTTATATACACTACCGAAATGATATTCAAAATAAAATCTATATACATTATGATAATCTACTACAACGAGATATTTTGAGAGTTACGATAATATGCTGGGTGCACGTCATACTCCATACATACATACACCAGAAACACCCGGATTTTATTAAAGTTTAAACAAGCAACGTAAGCTACTAATCATTCGTAGTCAAATAATATTGGAATAACATCATTAATATTGAAAAATAATCAATATCAACATTACGTCAAAGTTGTTTAAGAATTAATGTTTTGGGTACATACTTCTTGTCGCAGTGTTGTTGATATATCAGGAAGAATGGACTGCGCTGCGGGTATCAGGTTTCAAGTGTGGAACTAAACATTCCCGGAGTGTTAGTATGTAAATAAGGGCTGAATACACAAATTACAACACTTGCGATAGCCTATCTTATGTGGGGTGTGATTTATGGCTCACGGAAAGTCGTCGGCATACGCAGTATCAGTGTTCTTTCTGTAGAACTTGTATAGAACGATGATATATTTTTTGCTAGGGTGCTGCTAATAAGTCAACAATAAGTTGTCGACGTTCGTGATGTTATGTTCTCATTGTAAAACTGCATTTTCTTGTATTATAAGCATGCAGGCAATGGGTACATTGCATAGAATTGCTACATTCAGAATATCCTACTTGTTGGGGTGCTGTTGTTATTTCAGGAGAGTCACCGACTAAAATATTATCTTATATTGAGCGTAAAGATAAAGGATG